ATAAAAAATTACTTCTCTACTTAGAAAAATTCTCTCAAAGGCTTCCACACCCCCACCTCTGTCACTTACCAAATAAAGTTTTCATCCCTTAGCTTGTCATTTAAAGTCCTCCATGATCTGGCTCCAGCCTCCTTTGGAATGTTATCCTTCAACTGTTCCCTTTTATAGACACTATGTTCTTTGCTACACCTTCTGAACTTGGAAACCTCTGCCTAGAATATTTCCCACAAACTGACAGTGAAAAAAAAAAAGGCTATCCATTCTTCATGGACCAGGTCACAAATCCTCCCTGACTAGCAACTCTTTCTCCTCCTAATGTGCATAGCACTTCAGACTTCGCCTATGGCATTTGTCACCATTTGCCTTGTGTTGTAAAGTACTATTTTAACTCTACAAAACTGTGAATCTCAAGAGCAGGAAGGACACTTTAGCCCTTTTGGTTGTTTTCTCCCTCAGAAGTTTGTCTGTGGATCTAATCTGCTTTCACACAGTCACATCCATGCTTCTTTTGGTGTAGGTGGACATGCAGTTAAGGTCAGAGCTCAACACTACAAACCAAACTTATCAAATGATTTCTAATGTACGTAACTCAATCTCTGCAATCACATTAGTGGATTACTTTTGGACCGAATTTGTTCTCATCATTTTACAGAGACACTCTTACCACCGCTCCCACTATGATCCTCCAACAAGCCGACAGGCAGGAGGGTTCCCCCGCTTTCCTGGGGCCAGAAGTCACCGGGGAGCTCTTGTGGACTCACAGCAAGCATCAGGGACCATCGTGCAGATTGTCATCAATAATAAACACAAGCATGGACAAGGTAAGTGACATCCTCCTTTTGTACTGCGTCTGTATCAGAGTCCCGGCATCCCTGTTCTTCTGAGGGCTGGAGCTGAGAAAAAAACCTTTCTTCCATGAATAGCATAATATCACAATATTCACATGATCACTCACTAACAAGTCTACAAAGTGAGCATGAACAAATGACTCCTGAGGACTCTTAGGACTTTCCTAAATGCAGCCAAGGGAGCATAGTCAAAACCCGTTTATGCTTGCAGAGCAGTCTCTAGCACTTTCTCATCTGTCCCTAGGGATTGGAGATCATTTGGGAAAATGTCTTGGGTCTGTAGCAAGTAGATCGCCCAACATTTAAAGGTAATTGGTGCCAAGCACATCAAAAGTTCTTATCCAAGCCTTAGAAATAGCTTTTCTCACACCTCAGTGCACCCCAGATTCTCCTGGGGCTCCTTGTTAAATATTCCTGGCCCTGTACTCAGAGATTCTGGTTCACTGTTTAGCATATGAGGAGATTTTCCTTAAAAAATGAGTAATCGAGCAAGAATTACAGAAAACACCTGGCTGAGCACCAGGATGACTGATCAGGTTAGCTCAGACCTGCAGCCCACTCAGGCAACCAACTGACTGCAGCAAACATCCACAGATATCAATGGGCTCTGTTTTCTCCCACACACGACTCTCTGGCCTCCACCAACCCAACCCCAGTAGCAGAGCTGGGAGGAGAAGTTTAGTAAAACAATTGACTGGTTCTTACTTTTTTAGGGATCCTGTCAACCAGCTCTTTGGAGCAAGAGCTGAGCTAGATCCTTTTGTGAAACCACAAACATGTTTTGTTTCCTTTAAAGGAAAAACAAACTAAAGTCAGTTCTCTGAATGGGTTAAAAGTAATAAATTATTAAACCAAGTGATTAAATAACACAGGTGAAAACAATCCACTATAAAGAACTCCTACTATAAATCTCAAAGCTAGTCAAGCCAAAGCTAGTTGATCACATCTGTTGTTGGTTAGATGTAAATTTCAGATTTCAGATAAAAAATTAAATTGCTTTTGAAACCTACAGGTTTATAAGAAGAATCTAAATAAAATCATTAATAAATGGTGGTATATTAAAAGAATTTGAAATGTTTGCTTATTATTTTTAAGTCCCAGGGTGTTCTGATACAAGTTTATGAAATGAGGAGTTAGATAAGGATGCTGTTTGATTTTCAATCCTAAATTTTTCTGCATAGATTCCATTTGCTCTGAAAGTATTTCAAAACCTTTCTAAAAATGTGTGGAAATGGCCTTTTTATATGTAAATCACATAATCTCTATAAGGCCTCTTTATTTTCAAGGTAGAGGTTCATTCCTTGATTGTCTCCATCCTACAAAAGCCCCAGCTGTTTTACATTTATTCATCTGCCCCCATCAATTTGGATGCAGCAGTTCTTTTCTGACCTTTCTGTTATAGTTCACTAGAGAATCATTTATCTCCACTCCCAGCTCCCAACTCCCCAGCTGGAAGATTCAAACTCATCTGAGTATTTGTTGCTGGGGAGAAGGCAATATTTCCCTCTAGATAATTGACCTCACTGTATTCTGCTGTATTCTGCTCACCTCATCTGGACTGTTCCTTCAACCCAAATGTTTAGGAGTCTGGGTGCCTAGCTATTTTACACTGGGAGTCCTGTCTGTGCTACTACTCAGCATAGTTCACACTTCTCCCTAGCTCTTTTGCTACTGATGCTGTCTTTTCAGATACACCTCCTTGATTCCTTATTAAAGTCATAGAGAAGTGATAGTACTCTACCATTCTGTTTGATCTTATCCATGGCCTGCACCTCGCAGTTTAGGTATCAAGTCTCTATTTTGACTCAGTGGAAGGTTGGGTCCCTCTCTGGTTTAGGTTCTTGGAATCTTTACAGGAGCTGACCTGTTACAGCGCCCAGTACTTTTGCAGCTTTTGCAAAGGACAGTAAAAGGCCAACATCATTCATATTTCTTAATGTGACCCAGTGGACTTGATGAGAAAGAAATAGCCCAGTGATTCATCCTGACCCTGTTGTCTTGCAGCCAAATCAGTCAATTCCTAGAAACGCCCCAAGTGGGGCTTTTTCTACCCCTAGCCCCACCCAAAGTAATACAACCCACCCTAGAAATGTTGTTGATTAGGATGCCAACAGGTCTGCCTGGGTGTGATGAGGTGATGGGAATAATGAAAAACACACCCAGACTCAGTCATGGCTTGCACTCTCCAAAAGGATCAGAACTCCTTCTCAGACCTCCCCATTCACAGCCCTTTGAATTTCACATCCTGGAGTCTAGTGCCATGCCTTACTATAGCAGCCTAATAAATTTTGGGTTTGATGTACATGGAAGGATATACCTGTGGTCCCTCCCCTTCTTAGGCGACTTGGCCTGAAGCTCAGATGCTTGTCCTTTTCTTAGAAAACATTCAGCAAATGCCAATGTCAAAGATATCTGTGAAGCAGACAGTGATTCTCTGTAGGCAAATATCCACAGCCACTATAAGGTTGGAAACTGAGAAAATTGCCTGAAAAGTAGAGGCATAAAAGGCTACCCCTTCACAGTTACCCGAGAGGCATGTCCCTCTCAGTTTTGTCTTAGCACTACCCTTCCAACACCAAAGAGTACACCAGCAGAACTAAGGTCCATACCTGTCATTGTCACTTTCTCATTATCGAGACAAAATATTCAACACCCACCAAGGAGAGATGTATTTTGGTTCACAGTTTTGGAAGTTTCAGTCTGTGGTTGGCAGGCTCAGATGCAGAAATGGAATGATGGAAAGGCTTGCTGAGGAGAAAAGTTCCCCCACATAATGGTGGCCAGGAAGGTAGAAACCAGGGAGGGAAATAGACCTTTTTAGGTCACACCCCCAGTGACCCACCTCTTCTGGCAAGCCCCCACTGCCTAACACCACATTTAACTATGGATTCATCAGTGGACTAATCCATTGATGGATATAGTGTTCCTCTGATCCAATCACTTTCCCAAAGCCTCACCTCTGAACACATGAGTCTTGGAGGACATTCCAGATCCAAATCATAACAACACCAATCTATGTTGGTTAATCATTGCGTTAGTTATTTTTCTCATTGCTGAGACAAAATACCTGACCCCCAAAGTTAAAGGGGGAAAGTTTATTTGGCTTACAGTTCACAGAGGTTTCAGTCCTTAGTAGGCTGGCTCCAAGGTAGAGTGGCACAGGAGACAGGCATCAAAGAGGAGAAACAGTTCAAGCAGACACAAGGTAACAAAAACATCAAGGAAACCTTAACAGCATCTTTCTGCCAATTTTATCTTATCCGGACTACTGGGATTAGGGCATTGCCAAACCAATCAGTGTACTGGTTTAGTAATCACATGCCTTAATCCCAGCATCACACTCTCTACATTCAGCCACCTATGACCCAATGAGACTTTGGGGGGACATCTAGACCCAAACCATAACAATCATATTCTCATAGCACTTAACATTCTGAATGGATTTGCTTCAGGATGCTATAAATGTATCTCCATGTCCATGATACAAACAAAGGATATGTTAAGGAGTTCACGGCTTGGATTCTGAGCATTAAGACCCATTTCAGCTACTTTGCCTTTAATTTCTGGTTCTTTGTACTCTTCCAGTGTGTGTTTCCAATGGAAAGACCTATTCCCATGGCGAATCCTGGCACCCAAACCTCAGGGCATTTGGCATTGTGGAGTGTGTGCTGTGCACTTGTAATGTCACCAAGCAAGAGTGTAAGAAAATCCACTGCCCCAATCGATACCCCTGCAAGTATCCTCAAAAAATAGATGGAAAGTGCTGCAAGGTGTGTCCAGGTAAAAAAGCAAAAGGTGCGTTGGTTGGAGGCCCTGCCTTTGATTGACTGAGATCCTTCTCAACTTTGTTTGAGCATTAGAAATATAATCAACCTGTCATCTAATTGTAGTAGTAGTAGTAATTCTAGTAAGAATGAACTTCATTCTTTCCTCTCTTGAGCGACTGATAGATGGTTGCTTGGGAAAATTTACTATTGAGAAATATACTGGGAATTTCCTTCTGTCCATCACATCTCCCATTTAGTTTTAAGTGTTGACCTTATCCTTACTTCAGTAGAGAGTTTGGATTGTCACGATTATTAGAAAAACAGTAGCACCTTTCATTTTATCACTTTAACTCACCAAAGCACAGTCACATCCATTAGACAGGATGAGAGACAGGTGAAATACACTGGAAGACAAACAGGTTCTGATTCATATCTAAGTGGTTGCATGACCTTGAAGATGTGTCATATCCACTTTGGGCCTCGTTAGTCTTATATGAAAAGGTTACAATAATTGGTCTATAAGCAATCCTTTTCCTGTTGCATTTTCTTCCTTTATTTTTGAGACATAATATTTCAGTATATTCATTTCTAGAATGTGTAATGTGTAATGATCACATCAGGGTAATCATTTCCATTTCTTTGAACATTAATTTTTGTATTGGAAACCTTTGGAATTTTATAGTTATTTGAAATAAATCATAAATTATTAATGATTACAGTTACCGTACTGTGTTATAGAACACCAGAACTAATTCCTCCTATGTAACTCTGTTTTGGTATCTGTTATCAAACCTTTCTCTATCTCCCCTCCCGCTACCTTCCAACTCCAAAATCCTATAATTATGTTGCTCTGTATCTTTCAAAGATAAGAAAACTGAGAGTGGTGAAACTAATTGATAATAAAACCAAGGCATAGAACTCAGGTCACTTCTATCCCATTGTCTTTTCCAGTAAAAAATGTTCACTCTTTTTTTTAAAAAAAAAGGCAAACTATTTAAGTGGTGTTTTTTCAGATGTGAACTACATTAAAAAGATGGTCTGTAATAATGGAAATGCAAATAATGATATGAGTGATCAAGTATTCTAATCCTGGCTTGCCACTGATTTCCTGCATGATCTAGATGAAGTAACCTTACCTCTCTGTGGCCAAATTTCCTTTTCTGTAAAATGTGAGGGTTAGAGCAGGTGGTCGCCTAGGGCCTTTCCAGTTCCAGTGTTCTATAACCAGTAACTCCCAGGCACATGAATTTATCATTTTATGCTTTCTGCAAAAATTTTTATAAAGACAGATGAAATCCCAAACATTTTTAATGAGGGCAGAGAGCTAAATCATTTATTCCTTCAATTTAGGTAATTCCTCATGACTAGAAAGCAAATACACATTTACTGAGCATTTTCATGGGGACCAGTGGTTCCCAAACTTTTTTGCACATTGAAATTTTCAGAGAGCTTCTAAAAACACCTGTGTCTCATCCCCAGAGATTATGATGGTTAATTTATTTGAAATGTGTCCTGGGTTTTGGAATTTTTAAGATTCCCAGGCTATATTAATGTTTAGAAAAGTTTGAGAATCACTGCTGTAGGTCCACGATCGTTTATGGTCTGGCCACTCAAATTGAAGTTCTTGGATCAGCAGCCTCTGGGAGCTAGTTACAAATGCTAATCTTAGAGCCCCATTCTAGATCTACTGCATCAGTATCTTCATTTTTTTAAAAATCTCTAATGTATAGGGATTCTAATGTATAGTGCATACATTAAAGTTTGAGAAGCACTGATTAAGGCACAAACAAAATCTACCACAATATAATGAGCCCTTTCTTCTAGAGTAAATAAGACAGTGTATGGACAGGAAGGACAAGATCTAGCTGATATGGAGTAGACTTGAGGCATTAAAATTCACATGCGGGGCCGGGGATTTAGCTCAGTGGTTCTGCCGCCTGCCTTGCAAGTGCAAGGACCTGAGTTCGATCCCTGGTACAAAAAAAAAAAAATTCACATGCAAATGTACTTATTAGGGGTAGGGAACAAGTGAATTACAAGAATGATATTGGTAATGGGACTACCCAACCATGATGACCTATTATGACTTCTAACTCTGATCTTACTGGATCCCCAAATCCTTCAATAGAAGTTTTACCAACACAATTTTCTCTTCTGTCAACGGTCTAACATTTATAATTTAAAAACAGACAATTTTAGACAAAAATGAATTGTTACCTAAACCATACAAGATAAGATAAATTCTCTCACTATATAATATTCCAATTTGAATCTCAGTCCCTCAGACCAGATCACATTTCACTGGGTGCTTAGGATCTTATTGATGCAGAGGATTCAAATAAAATGTTGTGAAAATAAGAACATGCATTACCTATAATTTCTTTCTCAAATTGGTAATGTTTATTAAAAACCTTTGTATAAGCAATTTTACTCCCAGATATCCTAAGAAAATAATCAAAGACATACACAAAGATTTTCACACAAGGATTTTTGCTGCAGTACTGTTTATAGTAGTGAAAAATTGTAAAAGAAAAACTGGTTTGGTTAAAACAATTTTGTAAGCCCACCAATATGAGAATGTTTAAATTATGGTAAATAGTTGTACTGTGGAATATCATATAGCCATTAATAATACTTGTAGACTAAGATTTGGTGACACGGAAAGATATTTGCAATATATTAAGTACAAAAATCAAGCTGAAAAAACATGTATACTGTGATCACATTTTTTTGTGTTAAAAACAAAAGTATATATAGGCATGCATGCATAAAGCCTATGTATGCATATAAATATATATATGCATGCTTAGATTTTTAAAGAAAAAGACTGGAAGAGAATATGGCAGAATATGTTTACAGTGACTATCTTTGGATAACTGAACTCTGAATAATTCTTATTTTCTTCTCTTTTATTTGTATTTCCTAAATTTCATTAGTAAACATGTATTACTTTCATAATTAGACAAAATGATGTTATTGTTTTTAAAACTATCATTCAGAACCCCAATTGGCAATATATGAAAATCTGATGCCTATACGAGTTTCTCTAGAAGATCTGTTTTTCCTGTTTCCCACCTTCCTTGGATGTGTTTTTCCTGTTTCCCACCTTCCTCAGATAAAGTAGAAAATTTATTGGGTAACATAGAAGGTGTGAATTTCTATCCCGCTTTGTGTATCATCAGTCATTAATACTTCCCTCCTTGGGAATGGTTTCTCAGCTCCTGAGTTCTGGAGGGCTCAGGACAGAGCATTCTCATGGGAAGTAGGAATAGCCAGAAGTGACTTCAAGTGTGGCATGCTTCCGTGGAAGAGAATGAGAATAGGTAAGCATGGAGTGACCAGAAAGCACCTTGAGGTAGAGAGTGTGGAAAGTGGAAGATGTTGCTGAATAGGTCCTTCTAAAGACAAAATTTGCTTCTCTTGTTATTTTCAAGAATCATCCAGGGTTGAGTCTCAAATTGGTTTTGTTGTTTGTAGATCTCTTTGGTCTCCTAAGTTCAGCTCTTGGAGAGGAAGGGGTAGAGGTGCGGGATGACTCTTTAAGATACTGGGAGCATATTACAGGTACTTCCAGTGCCATCATGGATTTCATGTGTCAGTTATAGCCATATCCAATATTAAGCTGCTGGGAAAATTTTAACAAATGAACTCAGCTTGCCTTGTAAAGGTGATCATAGAATACACAGAAGTCACTGTACACTCCATAACCTCTTCCACCCATTTGAAAAGTGCTAGTACACATCCCTTAATTACTTAACATCACCAAGAAGACTGGACTGCCAAAGCAATTAAATAGCTGAAAAGAATGACAAAGAGAGAATGGAAATTTGGCCCTAAGATAATCCACAAATTGAGTAATCCAACCTGGAGTTGTCAAGAGAAGACGATGGTTTTGTCCTTATAGTGCCAAATGGTGGTGGGGGTGGAAAAGCTGATCAGGCCAGCAAGACACACAAAGTAGCAATTTGATTACAACTTCTAGTCCAAATGTGTCTGATTGGCTGACAGTGAGTCTCCTCAATTAATCACCCATCCAAACCATTGAACACTCAGTTTTTTCATCCTTAACAATTCAGATATTCTTACAGATGGCTTCTACACATATTTAATTTTCAGGGTGTCTAAAATTTCTCTTTGCTGATTTCAATGCACACTTCAAATATGCTGCTGAAGACAGTGCTGATTATAAGCTAGCAAGGAAGCTTAACTTACTGATAACCAACCAAGAAAAACTTCTTTTGATAGGGGGCTGAGGAAAGGCAAAGTAGAATGGGGAATATTAAGGGATTGGTACCTTTATGCCTGGGAGCTGAAATTTGGCAGTTTAGTTTACATATTAAGTGATCCGTAGTTGAGAGATTTGACCAATTTTTTGTTTCCCAACCATTCATTTGGCATAGCATACAAATGACTAATCTGACATCTAGGTTTTGGCACTGGTGCCGATCTGGTATTATCATTCCCCTTACAAACAAATCAAAGAGCATTTAGAAATGTCAAGTCAATTTGGATAGATCCATTGGACAAATATACGCACATAAATGAGTGTCCTGAATGTTTTCTAAGTATATGTAAAAGATGTCAGGGGAGTTAACCAAGGCCCTCTGTCGGCCCATTTCCTAGGCCTCTTGTCAACACTGGGCTGGGCAGAGCGTGATCCTGACCCTGTCTGGAAAATCCTGTTCTTTTAAGGGCTTCAGAGATTTGTACCTGGCTACCTTCTTCCTCCTCATATAAGTTCACTTATGAATGATGGCAGTAAGGAGATACAGTTTAATTTCTGGGCCAGTATTCTGTACAACTGTGGATTCTGTCATCAAATGGACTTCAAAATTTGTATGTTTCTTTGTGCTTTGGTGGCTGTTCACTGGGGCAGCCTATTGTGAGGTAATAAAATAAAGAATCTCCATCTCAGTAAAAATGTTCTTGTTGGCTGCCCACTTTCTGTAAGTGAGTGTAAGTTTGTATAAATAATGATATAGCTAGGGCCGGGGATTTAGCTCAGTGGCACCGTGCCTGCCTTGTAAGGACAAGGTCCTGAGTTTGATCCCCGGTGCCAAAATAATGATGATGATGATGATGATGATGATGATGATGATGATGATGATGATGATGATATAGCTAAATGTAGAAGTTCACATCTAGCTTTGGAAGACCATGACAAAATTCTACTTGCTTCCTGATTTCAGAAGAACTTCCAGGCCAAAGCTTTGATAGTAAAGGCTACTTTTGCGGAGAAGAAACAATGCCCGTGTATGAGTCTGTATTCATGGAGGATGGGGAGACTACCAGAAAAATAGCACTGGAGACTGAAAGACCACCTCAGGTAGAGGTCCATGTTTGGACCATTCGAAAAGGTAAACAACACAACATTAATTTCTTATCTTTTAAGGAGGGGCAGAGAAGGAAAGGAAGACTCTCTTGTACTTAGTTTCACCATGTTCCTGTATTTGGGTTGGAAGTTTTCTTGTTTGTTTAGAAACTGACATGTGTCTAACACAGCTGTTATTGTGGCCTTTCAGATTTAACTAGGAAGTGTGCTAAAGATTAAGTATTAACCTATTAACGCTTGCAGTTCCCAAGGTTGTATGTCTCATACAACCAAAAGATAGAAGAGTAGTTCTTAACGTAAGGAGATAGAGGAGTAGATGGAAGAATAGTTCTTGACATGATTCTGTATGTCAGAATGATCTGGGCAAATTTTTTGTTTTGTTTTTAGTACCAAATACCTGGGCCCCACCTCCAGAGTCTGATTAATTGATCTGGGTACAGCCCGGGCATCAAAGCTCTACACAAGATTCTGATGTGTGGCCCGAGTTGCAAACTACCAAACTCAAGTCTATCTTTCCTATATGAAGCTCTACAAATAGAATAACCTATTTATTTAATGTGTAGCTAAGTCCCTCAAATCACACTGTGTACTCTGGAGTAAGACAAATTGAAAACATCATCCCTACCTTCAAGAAGATGATAATTTCACTGGAGAAATAATCCCAGTCATGATGAACAATTCCTTTTCAGATTACTCACAATGACTATAACAAACTGCATTTTCTTCACTGTGATCCTATAGCTTTTTACACTGTTCCATAGGCATAAGACTAGTCCTCACAGAGTCTGGTCAAGTTTTCTAGTAATTTATGTGTAGAAGTGAGATTTTAATTGGAAAATAATACTCATCCTTTTGTTACTGGCTCCTACATAAGGCTTTAAAATGTTCAAGCTTTAGTGGATTTCAGTATTATGCACAGAGCTGTTGTAAAATGCAGCTACCTGTCTCTATCCCAGAGATGCAAATTCAGCAGGATTTAGGTAGTGTCTAAATATCTGCATGTTTAAAACATAGCCTGGTAATTCTGAATGCAGATGGCACTCAGACCATACTTTTAGTATTTATGGAGTTTTTTCTGTCCCTTTTCACAGTAACTTTTTTTCCCTAAAGAATGTGTCCTTCCCCATGTCTTAGACAATATGCTGTAATGTACCTGTGATTTTCATTCATGCTTATTTTGGTTTTATATGTAGGGAAAATTGGGCATGCCAGTTTTCCACCTTAAACTCTGTAGCACATCTGTAACTGACTATCTAGGACAAGGCAGCAACCTGTTGGCTTTCCCAGCATTGGACCTGGTATTTGTTACCCCACATCTCTCACCCCACTGTGGTGTCAGCTTGCTACTGTAGCATCTAAATAGCCATAGCCTCCTATTCACAGTGCCAGGTTATCAAGATGTGTGCATAGTGGGCAGATTAAAACCCAGGCTTCATCTCCTTTGCCTCCTATAGGCCTCTTTAGGATTATTTAAGTTGGATTGTGACATGTTACTCCTTAACTATTAGGCAGTTTTCGGTTGTTTACCTGTTATTCTGATTAAAGCTATTTAGACAAGGTTCAGACTGTACAGGCCACTCTGCTTTACCTCTCCCAATTCTTTTTAAATGGGAAGGCTAACAGAACTGTGAATATTCCCCAAAGGAAAATATGCTCTTCAGTAAGTTCAGGAACAAGGGTAGCTTCTTTACACAAATAACCTGTCTGTGATCCTACTGCTGGATTTCATTATTTAGCCAGGAGGGCAGCCTATTGGTTTGACAAGAACATAGTCTACCCAGATTTGGAGCAAAGGCAGACTTTCTAATACTGCCTTTGGCTGAGGAAGCTCTGACCAGTATCCATGCTTGAATCCATGTGGCTTTCACTAGGAGGGGATCCCACAGTCAGCAGCATTATCCTCCTTATCTCTATTCCCTAGACAAGCCAAGAAAACAAATAGAGACAATTATAATGCTTGAGCCATCCAAGTTCTTGGTTAAACACGTTACACGGCCCAGCTCAATAACTCTGAAGCCCCAGTAATGAAACAATATGTTCAGCCCAGGGAGCAAAAGGAATTGGTAATTCCAGAAAGAGTGCCTGACCATCTGCCCCACTTTTTGCTTGTCCCCAGGCATCCTCCAGCGCTTCCACATTGAAAAGATCTCGAAAAGAATGTTTGAAGAACTCCATCTCTTCAAACTGGTGACCAGGACAACCCTGAGTAAGTGGTACCTTTCTTTACTCATCACTGAAACATACCCAGTTTTTTTAATGCACAATTGTCACAACTATAGTTCCTCTATTTTCTTAGTAAACCTTAGGAGTACTCAGTATCAACATTAGAGGATATTCTGTTTTTCCTCTGGGGGACTTAGAAACAAATAGGATGTCTGAATGTGAACTAAAAATCTTGGGCATGATTAATACAGACCCAGATGTAGGTTAAGCATAAGCTACCTCAGGCTCAGGATTCCTGAATGTCTTTAATGAAATTGCTACACCTAGAGTCTCAAGAGGGTTGCAAAAGGCTTCACACAAAATTTCAGGTCTAGTATAGTATTGGAGACTTCACATCTAGAAGGCTATGTTCTCTGGTGGTGAGGATGGGAGACAAAAAGAAAAGGAATACATATCAATTCCTGTGTCATTTCTAAGTCCTTTGACGCTTTTAAATTGCCCCTGAGTGGTCATGTTTCTTTAAAAGCACTCAGGCATTCAAACATACTTGCAACTCTCCCACTTTCTACACTAGATGGAGCCTAGGGACTAGGTACTGCTAGGCACTGGGAGTGAAAGAGAGAACGTCTAATGGAATAAAAGGTACACAGTTTCTATCCACAGGGAATTCTAAGAGGCAAGGTAGAACATGAAAACGCCTTGACTATGAATTAATATAGTTCTGAGGAGTTAAATACCTTAAGTGCTCAGGGGAATCTGCAAAGAACAATGAGATGAGAGGCAGGTGGGCTTAGTCGGGGAAGGCTTTGGGGAGGAGGTGTGTTTTGAAACAGAGGGGTGTGACTGGGCAATGGATCAAGAAATCAGTCCAGGAAGAGGGTGCAGCGTAAGTGAAGATTCAGACAGGAGCAAACAAGAAATGTGGGTGGGGATGAGGAATGATCCCAAAAGCCACAATAAGGTGCACTGAAAGATGAGAAGAGTTGGTAGGAAGTAGTCAGAGGGTCCAGAAGAAGCCAGTGAAAAGTTCACATGTAAAGCAAGTAACATTGGGAGTTGCTGCAAAATTACAAACAGCCTAGTACAATCGAAACAGTGCTTTAGGAAGACATCCCTGGGCTTTCAGATAGATTTGTTAAGCACCTACTTTGATGAAGCCAGATTTAAAGAGCCAAATTTGCTATGCCAAGAAGTTGGATTTGATCTCCAGGTCATAGAACACCAGCTGAGGTTTTTTGAGCAAATGAATGGTACATTTAGACCTGTTTTTAGAAAGAAATCCTTGCTGTGTGGAGAGGTGGACTGTTGGTGAGAGAGCTGACAAGAGTCTGAATTAGGAAGCTATTATACTATATTAAGTCAGTGAGATGGTGAGGTCACTGAGAGACATTTCTCAGGTAAAATCAACAAAATTTTGTCAATTAGAGAAAGGAGTTTGGGATGGCTCCAATATTAACAACTTTATAGAATGAGTGAATAGTAATGCTATTCACCAATGAGAAACTCTGAAGAAATATTAGTGAAGAAAGAGTTTCACTTGCAATACTTGGATTAAGATACTAATAGGCCATCTAAGAAGACTTATCCAATAGGCAACTGGAAATAGAGTTGATGAGGTCAATTGTTTTTCTTGCAGGACCAATAGAAAATAAAATGAACAGTGTGAGTATTCAAATGAAGGTGTTGGAAGTAAGAATAAAGGAGCCAAAGTCCAGGATCCCAGGATCAAAGATGTGACTTCTGAAATTACCATTTAATTTCAAAGAACATATTTTAGTTCATACTGTGAGCAAGGCACTGCTATGATCTAGAAGACTTGAGAGATGATTTAAGCATACTCTATGCCCATTAGCTGTTAGGATTTGGGGTGTACAATGGAAGCAGATGGTGTGTGCCTCAGACTGTGTACATCTGGAAGAAGTAAGATCTGTGAGATCTACAGGCATGAAAAACAAGCCAAATTCCTTTGTGTAATGTGCCTAGAGAGCCTGGTACATCACAGGGCTTCAGTGAAAGCTAGTTCCTTGATCAGCCCTTCTTTTCCTTTTTCCTTCTGCCTTCCCATTGCATCAGAGAGAATAGGAAAAAGTGAGGAATCCAAGGGAGAAAGGAGCAGAGATCAAGTCTCAAGGGGAAGGAATCATGTTCTCTTGTGGCTAGGGAAAGAAAAGCGGTTCAAAACACATTTGGAGTTTAAAGGGGTTTACTGACCTTGGATCAGGAGTTCTCCAGTTATATTTGAAATCCTCCGGTGGTTCCATGAGTAAGTATGTAGGCGGGATGTGATAGGGGAGTGTTCTGTTGACTCTGCTGTACTCTTACACTTTCCTGCCCTCTTGTGTTTGGCTTTTAGGCCAGTGGAAGATATTCACTGAAGGAGAAGCTCAGATCAGCCAGATGTGTTCAAGTCGTGTTTGCAGAACAGAGCTTGAAGATTTGGTCAAAGTTTTGTACCTGGAGAGATCTGAAAAGGGCCACTGTTAGGCAAGTCAGACAGTTAGATAGGGTCAAGCAAGAAAACTCAAGCTGCAGCTGGACTGCCACCTTATTTTGCTTAAATCAATAGTACCTTACAACCCCAAACTCAAATGCAGTCAGTTATTCACGCCATGCATAGCATAACTTGCTGCTTTATGTGGAGTGGTGTGTCAGCCCTTAACCATCTCCTCTAAAGAGACTAAGAGAGTCTTAAATGATTTGTGGGAGGAAGAAGGATAGAACACCACAACACATCTCTAGTTTCTTGGAGAATCACATTTCTTTACATGTTAAAGAGCAAACAAAACCCCAAGGTTTTATTGAGAAAGTTATTCAAATGAAAGAAAGAGAAGGGAATTGCTTAGTAGCTGTTCTGGAGAATAGAGCAATTATTTGTATGAAATGATATTCTTTGAATGTTAGAATGTCTTTTGTTCTTTAAAAGAAAATTAACTACCCATCCTTGAGTGCATGTGCACACACACACACACACACACACACACACATATACACACACACATACAAAACTGCGGCCTCTGCACTGAGGCAAAGCCAGCCTAGATTCTGCCCTTCTCTGCCTGAAAGACCTTGGAGGTTGTTGGTGCCCAGGAGAATAAATAAAGACTTCTAAACAAAAGCCTCTGTTCTTAGGCCTTTGACGTGGCTGTTGCACTCAGCAACTATAGTGGCAGGGTGAAGAATAAAAGCAGCATTTCTGGCCTCATTCACGTTAAAGTGGTGAATAACTTTTCCCTAGTGATACCCTTTCTTTTTTCTTCCTCAACCTATGAAACCTCCACAAATAACTCTGAATTGGGTAATATTATCAGAAACTGAATCGATAGTAATTATTGAAGAAAGGACTTGATAAAAGTCAAAGAGGCCATCTTATTGTTTTCATGGCAATAAAATTCACCAATTAGTAGATCAGTATTCACTAATTTTCTTGAGGTCATACTTGTCTAGCCAGAAAATTTAGGCTGAATTATTAAATTCTAGGAGCCCCCTTAAAAGGGTGGTTTTCCTTCTTCAAGAGTTGATTTTTACTGTGCAAAGAGGCTCTATCTTCACGAGCTTCTGAATTTTGGCTCTTCAGTTAAGAGAGTTGCTGTTCATTTCAGGAGCTGAAACTTCTGATAAACATCTTTATCCTAAACCTTTCTCTCAGTTTTGCCTTATTCAGCCAGCATGGATTTGAATCAGGGATTCTAGAAAACACTGTTCATAAAATGTTTATCTGCAGTCCAATACTAGAGTATAAATGGTCAATTTTCAGGTCTGGCTTTAGACATCATCTTTGTGGGAAAACTAAATTTTCCTCAAAAAAGATCTGGATTTGTCCTCTCTGAGAGTCATGAATGAACTCTAGTGAGTACTAAGAAGCATTGAGGACTCAGAAGTTCCATATTTGCCACTCTGAGATGATATGTGAGAGAACATGTTTTTCCTTAATGTATTTGACAATGATGGGGGAAAATGTAAAAGGTCCAGTGTCAACAGCAATCTGCCATAAAAGAGTCTGTTTCCATAAAAGAGACACAAGGGCCTCATAGCCAGGAATTCATAGGACAATCCTTTCACCAGCCCACCACACACATTCTCCTCAAGAGAAGGAGGAAGGAAACCCTGGGCTGAAAAGTCACAGAGCATAATGAAAAGTAGGGGGGTCATGGTGGTTAAGCAGCTGCTGGCTCCCTTTCAAAAGTGGCAGTCATTTCCAGAGTATAGAGACCAGTAACTGGATCCTGAAGCAAAGTGGTGATTCCACTTCTAGATGCTTCACCCCAAAGCCTTCCCACCCAGGTGTTCTCTGAATGCTCAGGCTTAGAGGAACACCCAGAAGCTTCCCTAGATAGATGCCTTCTCCTGGTCCTGGGGCACACCTTTCCAAAGTATTGGGGGAAGCAGGAGCTGGTGAGCTGTGTCAGTGAACATAGAAACCCTCCAGTGTTTGTTGTTTTGTAGAGAGTAGGTCTTAGGAAAAATGCCAAGCCACCCGTAGTTAGTAGAGAAGAATGGATGTGGTTCTTTTTGTGTATTTATTTGTATCATAAACACTTGGAACAACAAAGACCATAAGCACCATTTCACAATAATAGCCATTTTCTAGTTAACTCATGTAAACAAGTAAGAGTAACATAACAATATTACCTTCTCATTCTGCTCATAGGACATGTACCTAAACATGGTACTTATTTATGTAGTCACTGTATTTCTGGATTTTAAATTAATAAAAATTTTAATTTTGAAAAGTCATCTTCAAGCAAGCCGCATGTGTGAGTGACTCTCCATTATTACTGACTCTGAACTAGATAGCAGGTGATGGGTGGGCCTGGTGCTTTCTCACAGCTTGACACCCTTCTCGTGCTGTAGTGTAATAGTTACAGTGTGATCTGAGTCAGACTACAGGGATGTCTTTAAAAATTTCTGTTAGTACATGTTTTCAGTACATAATGATTACATTCATCTTGGGGAGTTGGTACATATACGTAACACATCGTAGGTCTTTTTTCATCACCTTCTCCTGCCCCTCCCTCCTCCTTCCATATCTTGATTACTTTCCCTTTTGCAAAAGATCTATCTCACTATTTCCTATTATCTGTCTTTATTTTGCTCTTTATTTTGTGTATATTTTGGGTTACTCATATAGAGAAACCATTTAAGCTTGTGCATCTGATTTATTTCACTTAACTTTATGGTCTCAAGGTACATCCATTTTCCTACAAATGACTCAACTTTATCCCTCTTTATGGCAGAGTAGTACCCCATTGTTTCTAGTGGCACATTTTCTTTATCCATTCATCTCTGATGGACTTAAAGGCTGCTTCTAAGTTTTAGCTATTATGAGTTGTGCTAGTATAAACATGGGTATGCATATATCCTGGATTTCTAAGCCAGCTTGCACTTACCAGCTATGTTTGTCAACTTTATAAAATGGGATAATAATAGTACTCATACTCTTTGCCTGCAGTCTTGCAATGAGGTCTAATTTAGTTAATGCATATAAAGTGATTAGAATGCTGTCTAGTACATAGTAAGCATTCATTAATGTTCATGGATATTCAAGGCTGACATGCACTGAAACTGAGCATTGGATTCTGACCTCCCTTTAGGCCATTGATTCAGGCTTCAAGGGGACCTGCTATTCACAATGTTTTTATATAAAAAATTTACAGGGAGCAGGGTAAGAGTTTTGCCATACATTTTGTTCCAAACTAAATTCCCTCCAACCTCCAATAGCAGCTGAATGTATGTTATCACAGAAGTCAAAATGTGAGAGTGCTTCAAGACTCACGTGTCAAGATGGTTGAGATGTCAGATAATCTTAGGACAGAAAAGCATGCGTTGGGGTTGGCCACATGGAAGAAGAGAAATATTGCTGGAGTGACTGAACAGAAGCCTATTGGAGTGGTTGTAAGAAATTGAGTGGGGAGATGAGGAATTGTAAATTGCTATAATCTCAGGACAACTCTAGAGAAACTGCACCGCAGGAGGTAGGGAGTCACAGTGAAGGAAGTATCTGGGAAAGAAGGACAAAGGAAGTCATTTTGTTTTAAATATGAGAGCTATTTCCCCTGGGGGACAGATACTGTAGAAAGGAAAAGATTGAAGATCATCCTGGGAAGTGAAGACAAGCTAACCTGTTGTGTGAGGTGGGTAAGAAGTCATCCCCCACCATGCTGCATCCCAGAACTCACATTTTTAACACATAATCTGGATGGAATTTGGATCTTTAGATGCCAACCTCTTATTTTAAGCTGCACATCATCCTGCTGATTTCTGTTGGCTTGGTCTTCCTTTATACCCTGCTTGATTTCTTCTGGAATGATGGGCTATAGATCCCAATATTGTTCCACCTCCACTGAAGGAACTAACATAACTCAGACTAGACATCTTGGCTCCATTTTTACTCTTCCCTTTCCCTAATCAGCCACATCCAGATTTCACCCAGTCCTGTCAGTTTTATCTCAATGTAGGCGATGCTTATAGGTTTTGCTCTTAGTTCTTCTCATCGAATTTTCTCCCATATAGTCTATACCCACTTGCCCACACCATCATTCTCATGAAGCACGAAAGAACATCGCTTTTGGATTCAAAGAGAAGTCCTGCTTATTCCTACATGTTTTCCACCTTTTTATTCCTTTCTTGCTTTGACTGTTTAAGGGGGTTCAGAATATGCAACTTAAAAATGTGCCCTTTGGCATAGGGTTACTTCGAGGTAAAGGCAATGGAAACTCAGTAGCTGCAGCAAGAGTTCTCTGCACTTCTCTTATCTCCCTAACTGCAGGGCAAAAATTTTTCTTTGAGGAACCTGGCCCCTCCCTCATACCAAGGAGAGAAGAGAGACTGGTCACTGAATATAGGAAGTCAACAGCAAGATAAGTTTGTATACACACAACTAAAACAGCCTCTGTTGTCCATTAGTTGCCCCCATATGAATATTTGCTGTTCACTTCCCCACAGTTTATCATCTCCTGAAACCCAAACACTCTGTTAAAAAGGTATACACTGTAAGCCCCTAAAACAATATGCCTTTTCTTCTGCTAATCTGTCTTTTTGTTACTTTATTTAATGGGCCCACAGTCACTAAACTAAAGTAGTTTTTCCTTCCCACCTACCTCTAAGACAGACTGCTAGCAAAAAATCCTCCATCTCTACACACTTCCTGACAGTCACCACTGCTGCCAGCTGGGCGGTTGATGAAGCCTCTTTGCCTGGCCTACAGGTACCACCACAGTGACAGTGCTCAGAATCCTCTGCTCCTTTTTGTTTCCCAGCAGCACTGTGTCTTGTTCACAAGGTGAGACAATGTTCCCCTCCCTCCCTACCTGTGAAGTTATTTTGTCACCTTACATAAAAGCAGCCAACAAATTTGTTTTTTGTTTTTTCTTTACTTTTTGTTTTTGCAGTACTGGGGATAGAACCTAGGACCTTCACACTGCCCCATACCCCCAGACTGTTTTGAGACAGGGTCTTGCCTAGTTGTTAAGTTGTCCAGGCTGAGTTTAAACATTTGTTCCCCCTGCTGCAGCCTCCCAGACATGCACCACCATGCCCAGCAAACATATAATTCTTGAGTGTGCATTACATGCACCAGTGGAGGGTCTTCTTATGCCTTGGTATCTCATAAATGCTTCATGGAATGAAGCCCTTCAGGTTCTACTTTCAGCCCCTTTCTCAGGGCTCAGTTGTCAGTGTGTAGTCTGTGCTGAGTACAAGCCTCCAAGATGCATATATGACCTATGAGTCCCTTTCCCCTTTGGAGCATATGTACTACTTCCATTTCCCACAGAAACTCTTACACAAATTGACTTCAAGGATACCACCCATTCAAACCATGAAATGCATTTCAAACCTCCAAGTAGAAGAACTGGAACCTGGAATTCAGGAACCCAGCTGCAGCATGTAGTCCCCTGAATATTTCATACACACATACAACTTCATGTCATTGTAAATGTTCTTCCTACCACTAGCATGTTCTTCCCTCTTCTTTGACTAGTGAACTCCTACTCATCCTTCAAGACACAGGCCAAACATCACCACCTCTATGCAGCATCACCTGTTCCCCTCCTAGTTTTCCACTATTTTCCCTTCTCCGTATATATGGTGTCCTCTAACCACGACACGATACTCCATGTTCCTGAAACATACCATGTTGTCGTGCTTCAATGCTTTCACACACAGCTCACTTTGCTTGAAAAGTTCAAGCCTTGATGTCTCTACTTAGTGAACACCTACTCATCTTTTTTTTTCCTCCTTCTTTTGTTGGTACATTTTAGGTATAAAATACATTTACATTTTGCATTGGGAACTTGTACATTTACATGATGTATCTTGGTTCTTATTTTTTCCCCATTTCCTGCCCTCCCTTCACCCCCTCACCCTTCCCCATTTACAAAGACTTTGTTTCCATTTTTTCCATTTCTCATAATTTTTCCTTTCCCTTCTTTCCTTTCCCCTTCCCCTCCAATTTCCCCTACCACGTTGGACCTTTTCTTCCTATTTTGCATTATCAATTATTCATTTTAATCATTGATACATTATAGGTGTACAATATAATGACATTCATCATTGGAAATTTGCACCTTTACAAAATCTCACTTAGTTCTTATTTTTCCCCCTTCCCCTGCCCTCCCTGTAACCCCTCCATCCCTCGCGATTTACAAAGACTTTGTTTCCATTTTTCCATTTTCTCATATTAATTCTATTCCCTTCTTTCCTTTCCCCTATCCCTATTTCCCCTTCCCCTTTGCCCCTTTTCTTCCTATTTCACATTATCTATTATACCTTTTCATCCTTATTTACACTTTGTTTCTCACACTAGAGAAACTATTCGGTATTTACACAGGTGTGTCCTCTTTATTTCACTTAAGAGTATTGCCTCAATGTGCATCCATTTAGCTTTAAATGTCTCTAATTTCTCATTCTTTATGGCTGAGTAGTACTCCATCTTATAAAAGAAACCACATTTTCTTTATCCAGTCTCCAGTGGATGGGCATCTGGGCTGCTTCCAACTTTAAGCTATTGCAAATTGTGCTGCTATGAACATGGACGCACATATATCACTGTGGTATGATTCTTTTAATTCTTTGGAGAAGATACCCAGCAGGTAAAGAGCTGGGTAAAATGGGACTTCCAGTCTTAGTTTTTTGAGGTATCTCCATACTGATTTCCACAGTGGTTGCACTAGTCAACACTCCCACCAGCAGTGGAGCAGGGTTCCTCTTTCCCCACAGCCCAGCCAGCATTTGTTATTGGTTGATTTCATGATAGCAGCGATTCTTTCTGGAAGGAGGTGGAATCTCAGCATTGTTTTCATTTACATCTCTCGAATGACCAGTGATGTTGAACATTTTTTCATATGTT